CTAAAATGTCTGTTTGATCTGCAAAGGATTTTATCATTGATAGAGATTTTTGGTATTATCATTTTGTTATTACTTTCAGTCTAATGTTATTGTGATTTTTAGTTTAAAGTGTTTTCTTCCTTATGTGTGTATAAACTGACCTGGAGGTTACGACTGACTTTTGGTATTATCATTTTGTTATTACTTTAGTTCATATTCAGTCTTACTTTAGTTCATATTCAGTCTAATGTTAATCAGTATTATTGTGATTTTTAGTTTAAAGTGTTCTCTTATGTGTGTATAAACTGACCTGGAGGTTACGACTGACTGTTTCATCTTTATGTGAGGCAGTTAACTCTGTGTTTCCCAGGCCTTAATTCTTATCAACCAGAATACCTCCTAACTGCCTGTGAGCAGTCGTATTTTGTCTCTTGTTTATCCTCCCTCTTTGTTGACAGTTTGACCTAGAGCTGAACTGGGCTCAGATATCACACCTGGAACTGAGTTGCTGGTTTGTTTAGGTTAGAAGTTTTACGACCTTTGTTGTTTTTTTCTGGCTGTTCTGCTTGACAATAAAACAGGGGCTCACGCGAAAGCAGACCAGAACTCTCTGTGAACGGCTGATGATGTTGTTGATGGAGAGTTATCCTTTTGCAAAAGCTTTGTCTATGAAATTCATATACGTTGTCTGTGGTCTTTTTATATAGGTTCGAGAAAAATACCTATCAACCTTAAGGTGCATCGATTTATAAAATGTTTTAAATGTTTGGAAATTTATATTAAAATATCTGCTAGAACATTTAAATTGTGTTGCTGTAGGGTCTTTCAGTAGGACAACTATCCAACACATTGTTTCTTACAGGAAAAAAAAAAAGTGCCAGTTTTTCTCCAAATCAACATGGAAATGTGTCACTACACACATGCCAAACCTTTTTTTCACAGTCATCTCGGTCCTCAGACCAGTCCAACAGAAAAGCTGCAGGGTGAACTGAAGATAAATATAAATATGAGGACTGTGGTCAAACTGAAGAGATTGTGAAACAGAAATAGCTAACACTTCATTTCCCTATAATATGTATTAACCTTATTATAGGAAAGAAATTCTTCTCCTATTGGCAAAAAAAAAAAAAAAAAAGGACTGTACAAAATTTACTGGTAATTTTGGCACCGGTAAATTTTGCTTCACAGTAACAAGCAGTGTGTTATTGTTGTTATGTATGTAACTTCATAATTAGCTTACATGAACAAACAAACCATGTTACGTGAGATAGAGGAGCAACTTTATTAGTGTAACTGCGGAGGGCATCAGTTTCAGTCTGGCCCTTCCCCTTCCCCTTATAACTTGTTTCAAAGTGAGTAAACAGCAACCCAGGAAGCTCCCCATTGCTGTGACGAAGCAATCAGCTGATGATGTGTATCAAGAATAAATAGCTAGAGAGCAACTGCTTTATACAGGCACGTATTGGCAGTCACATTGTTTATCGCTCAGCTGCGCCGCTTGCAGTCTGTTTTCCATTTTTTAACTTAACCACATGTAACCATGCAATTTATGAAATTATCTTGAATCAATTATCTTCTCAAAATTTTTCTAAAACTGTATATTAGTTCTTAGAAAAATGTACATTTTGAAATTTTGAAAACTTAAAAAAAAATCTTCATTATAAAAAAGTAAATATAACATTTTGCTGTTTCTCTAATTTATTGTTAAAATATATTAGAGATAGATTATGAATTAAACATATCGTGCTATTAAAATGAGTTTTATTAGAGGTTTTGATTGGGTTGCGCAGGTTTTACACGTTTAGTTTTACCCTGTGTTTGGGCTGGAGTATTTCAAATTTGGCAACAGTAGCTAACGGCGCCATTTTTGTTATTAATGAGCGTTACGCGCATGCGCCATGCTGGATTTAAAAAAAAAAAAAAAAAAAAAAAAAAAAAGACGCAGCCTGCACCTTGCCGCGCAGAGACCAAAAACTGTCGGTCTGATATTCATGAACTTTGGGAACTTGATTGAAAATTATATTTTCTGATCTCCCAAGACGCGGAATCTGAGTGGACGCCCAGCCTTATGACTGAAACTTTTGAAATCGTATCGGTGTTTATCGAGATCTAGTTTGGCGTCTTGTACTTGACCTAGGAGTAGGCCAAAGTGATGACAAGTAGGCCGCGGGAACGCCGTGTTTGAAATCGCTGCGTTGATTATTCGGTAAGTTATTTTTCGGAAACCTTATTTTGAGTTGTTTGTCTTTTTCCACCGATGACGTTGATGAAGCAATTTTTTGTGTCTAAACAGAGCAGCACACAAGTAGAGACTCGACCATGGCCTCTCAGCGGCGGTTTGTTTGGTTGCTGGTGTCCCTGAAACATCTGATGAGATATATTGGCATCTGGAGTTAGCAGTTGATCGATTATGGATATACTACAATCAAGCTGAGGAATCGCTTCCGTCAAGCTGAGGATTCAAGGTGCCTGGTGGATCCGCCCGACCCATCAAAAGTTGGTTAGGTCAAGCAACTATTCCAATGGAGGGTCCAGAAGACATCTCAGGGTAGGAGCTGTTGGAGGGTTTTGCTGCTGATGCTAACACTGTTGAAGGCCAACCTAGGCCTCTTGGTGTGCTGGTTTGGTTTGGTTCTCTGCTGAGAGTCAATGAGCTGAGAAGGATTCTGCTGTTTTAAAACCTTCGGTCTTTGGATTTTTAGTATTTGAAGCAGTTGCTGTGATCTTGTGACCTGTGGAGGTTTAGGTGTAACAAGAATATATCGAATCTGAAGTTCCTGGCTCAAAGTCAGTTGTCATGTGAAAGAAAGAAGGCTGCCAAGGATTTGGCAATTAGAGGCTGTAGAAAGTGATTCAGTTTAGGCTTTGTAAATATCACTATAACAATCCTTGATAACATGCCTACTTATTAGTACTAATATAATGTGGCTATTTTGACATTGGCATAGCTTCATTAGGAAAATATTTATCTTTCCAAAGAATATCAAATATGTTTTTGGGTGAATATAAGGTCTTCAACATACATAATTTTTTTTTTTACCTATTTAATATTTAGTTTGAAACAAACAGGTACTAGGTGAGGGATTGGACCAAGAGCAGCCCAAAGATCGCTTAGAAATATAAACATAGAATGTTCCTATTTAGAGGTGGAGATATAGACAGGGTTCCCACTTACAACCAGAGTTATAGACAGAAGTCAGAGTTTCTCCTAGTGTTTTGTCAGCCTGGCGGGCCACCAGGCTTTATTTGTGCCCCCACCAGGCTATGGGTTATTTTAAATGGGGATTTTTCTCCACTAGTGACTGTAAAGACAGATTAAAGTAAAGGTTTATAGTTGAGACATTGAATTGCCATCCCATCAGCTGCCCGTTGACTTCACATGCTGTTATTTCTGAGTTTTGATGCCTGATCTTGCACCTCCGACCTTCTGTAACTTGACATTTTTTAACCCAAACACACAGCAGACAGCCGATGAACGACCCCAGCAGCTCTTCCATCGGGCTCAGCAGGTTTTCTGGAGGAAACCTTGAAAGCTTTCCCAGGTGACGCGTCCTGATTGTTCTCCATTGTGACTTGAAACTTCCTTGGCAATCTTTCAATACCTGCAGCAATTAATGCTGCAGGTATTTTGCTGTTTAAGTAATATTTAAAAGTGAGTTTTTGAAAAGTGATTTTATTCTTGAGTTGTTAAAGGGTTTGACTTGGAACCTGGACCTGTCCTGTTGTCGCCTTCCCATCCTCAGTTTCCAATTGCATGATTTGTTTCTCTGTTTCTACCAAAAACTAGATGAATAAAGTTTTCAATCTGGTGTTTTGTAAATAAAATTGTTCTTTTAAAAAAAGATTTAGTTGAGACCAGAAACTTCATAATTCCTTTTATTTTGTAGTTTCTGTTTATTTATTTAGGATAATTTGAATGTCTTCCAGTTCCAGCAAAATGTTCATTAGAATAAGTAAGTTAGCACTTACTTCCTAAAAGTTAGCAGGTAGGGCTAACTTTTGTTAGCACTTAATATAATTGTTTGTGTGCTAGAAGTGAGCTAAAGTTGGAATCATTTGTTTGTGCCAGGTTGTAAATATTTATTTTGAAGCATGCTGGTAGCTTTATTATGTGAGATATTGAAGCCGTGTAATAATAGCGGAACAATAGTGCATATTAAGCATATCCTATCATTTGAGGTGTACAGTGACCTGCGCAATCCGGTGGATACATTGTGGATACGTTGCATTTGACAACAGACTGCCATACAACGTATTCATGCGCAAAAAGAGCTTGCGGTGAATGATCCGCAGATGTTTGTGTTGAATTGAATTTCAATAAGAACCTTTCACCCATCTGATATTTATTCTCTGTATTTAAAATATTTTTTTAAAAGGTAGAATATTCTCGGAAAAGGATTAAAGCACCTGCGATAGCTTTTCATTTTAAACGGGTAGGATATTCTGATGAAGGAAGTGATATTTTTGTGTTTTTGTCGTGTATATAAAGTGTTCCAGTGCTATGCTAAGCATAACTCCCAAGCTTCCACTCCAGTGTCGTCACTCAAAGAATGTTATCCAACGATAATATTTGACATTAACACAACCTGCTGTCGTTTTTGATTTGTAAACATCACGGTAGAAGTTTTAGACGCGTAGCACCGCAACGGTAGGAAAATCTGATGAGGTAGCACAGATAGTCAGAACACCGCACCTCCGAGGCTCCACCAATCAGAGTCCACCCCGGGCCGGCACCCTGGAAGCAGATGGCCGCTGATATATATAGTAGAAGGCGAGGCTGATGCAACACCGAACTGAGATAACACCCGAGCATCACGTCAGCGCGTAGGAGGAGCAACCCAAAGCTGGAAACCGCATCACTTATTTCGCTGTCTTCTAAAACCTGGTCTGACATCCTCTTTGTTTCTTTTTTTTTTTTTCCCCCAGCGATTCTCATAACCGGTGAGTAATCTATTTTATTTTATTTTTTTATACATTCAAGCTGCAATTCTCCGTTTCATTTTAATGTATGCAGGCTTTTCAAAGAATTGTACGAATTAGCATATTCTCTACCACGTGCGCTTTTTTCACAATGAGGTAAGCGTGCTCACGTTACACATATTTATTTATTTATTTTTTTTTTAATGTAAAAATGAAACATAATTTTATTGGGAAGAAGCCTATGTTCTTTAGCAGAAGGTTTAAGATGACTCGGACATCTTCACCCGGCTTTCGGCCTGCTTTTTGTATTCATTTAGAAAAGGAAGAAAATAATTTAAAAATATTTCAACCCCACTATATCTAATTAAACGCTGAATATTGTGATACGTAATGTTTTAAAACTATTGGTAAGGTAGCGAACATTTATTAA